GATTTTCCATAAAAGTTATACGTTATAAAACTTAATATTTTTATGGAATTTTTATATCAAATTTTTTATTGGGATGATTTTTCACACTGTAATCAATATTACAAGAGATTTTATAGGGGAAGAACTTAGCATAAGACCTTAATACGAAGTAATTAGTGATGAAAGTACTAGACGTATCGACTTTGCAATTAAAGTAATAGAATTATTTCTTGTGTGTATTTTTTATTTTACTCAAAATTATACTAATATCATACTTATTTTAGTTATCTCAGAAAGCTAAGAATCTTATTTGCGTCACTGAGAACAAACTAGAGCGAAATCTAATTGAGGGTTTTGCTCAAAATATCAAATAGTTGGAGAGCTCATTACAAATGAATATGAGAAAACAAAAGTGAGATGACGATGATGATTTTGATTACCTCTATGATATTGTCATTATAGCTTAGGACTGGCACTTCCTGCTGTATATACTGGAAAAAATTTCGCAAGGCAACAAATTACCACTTAGCATCAAATTTCTGAAGATGTCTTGAATAAAGACTCTGTAAAATATCAAACATTACGTAATAGTGTGAAAAGGATGTTAGACGTAATAGTAGGTTTGTTAAAGAACAGAGCATGTATAAAGGAAGAACCTGAAAGGAAAAGGGTTAAGATAGAGGATTATCATTTAAAAAAAATAAGCATGTATAATAGTCTGCAATATATTATAGAAACGTTATGTATCCTAGGCTATATCCTGAACATTTGTATTTATTTTTGCATATATTAATAAAAATTTTTTTGGCAAAAGTGATCTTTTATTATTTAATTTGAATATTTAGTATACTAAACAAGTATTATTAATCATGTCAAACACATAATCTATTGATTTATTAAGAGAGGTAAATGTTAGGTTCTTAATTGAGATTTCTGAACTCAGAAAGAAGTTTGCAAAGGTTGAGCCTAAGAATGTGAAGTTGAAGCAGATTATTGAGGAAAATGCCAGATGTGATATTAGAGTTAAGGAATTAAAGCAAAAAAATATGGAGCTTGAGATCAGACTTGTGATAGTGAAATAGGGTTCTTTGGTAGTGGATGATTAGTTACATAAAGAAGCAATATCAAAGAGGTTTGTAGAGCAAACTATATCAGATGTTGATTTATCTAGCTCTGTAATTGATCAGCGAAATAATGATGATGTTAAGACATCAAAGAAAAAGGAGATGGATGCTTTCTTGGTTAAGGTAAATAAGAAAAGCATTAGTGATAAAATTAGAGAGAGCAGGCAAGAAAAGAAGGTTCAGGATAAGATGATTACCAAAAACTCATCCTCTATTACTTCAGACTTGATTCACTGTGAGGAGGACCTCTCCATGACTAGTGCTGAACTTATAACTCTCCCAGAATAGGTAGTCAAAGAATCGATTCCAGCTTGTAAGTCAGTTACCTCTGGTAACAAATCATCTGCTAAGACATTGCTAGTAAAATTGTCTATGGTGGACAAACAGGCTCTGGCTTTGAGAATACAGAGACAGAGTGTCAAAAAGTTTCTTATAATCAAAAAGTGAAGCAAGATTTGAAACAGGAGCTATCCTTCACTGAAGTTAGTGATGATAAGATTAATAAGGCATTTGATATTCAAATTCCTGAACTCTTTTTAGAAGCAATTCTGATGGGATCTAGTGAAGTTATAATACAGAATATAGTTGATTTATTTAGAGTAGCAATGAAGCTTAGACATAAGGAGATTTTATGCTGGTATTATTACTATAAAGCATATGAGGATCGAGTCAGAGATGTTAAGTCTAAAAATGGTATTGATGATAAATCAGCAAGAACATTAGTGTACAGCGAAATCAAACTCATTCTTCCTAATATTACTGATGTAAACTTACATAAAATAACTTTCAGAGCTAAAAATCTATATATTGTTTGATGGGATAGGAATAAATAGAATCCAAATAATTAGCTGTAGCGTAAGTGCCATCTCGAATTTATCTGATAATCAGATCTAGGACATTATAAATGATTTTTCCAAAAAAGCTACTAATAAATTGGAACGGACATGTGACTTCGAAAACCAATAAAACTGAGGTGCAAGCGAATCCCTTGGGAGTAAGCTCATCGGCAACATCAACACGATGTTAATCAAATTTTCCGGCTCTATAGATGCTCAAAGTCAAAGCGGACATATCACCATTCCTAATCTTTTTAATATATTTGATATTTGCCGAGAAAATAGTGATCGTTAACACGTGTTTCATTGGCGCAGTGAAATACAGAGAAAAAAAATACAACTGTAATTTCAGCCGGGGGGGCCTGCCAAAATCTTACTTATATTGGTAAGACTATATTATGTAACCAGACAGTAATTTGACGCAGATATCAAATGGCTTTACGTTATTTTTTCATGGTGTTACAAAATGTCATGTAAATCATGAGATAGCAAAGAAACTTTGATAAATTAAATGACTTTTTTTTACTTTTTTAAACTCCGCCGTAGATATAAATATACTACAAGATGCTTGAGAATGAGAATTATTATGATTATCCTGCCAATATGTATGACCTTCTCTTGATTGATCTCCATTCCAAAGACCTCCATGAAACAGTATCTAAAGAACTTAAAACTCAATACTTATCGGATACTCAACTAACAGAATTAAAAGAAATAAACGGCATGATATTCGGCCCTAATTTAAGAGTCATTATCTCTTTACCGGTTATTATCAAAAAGAAAACAAAAAACGTCCACTTTATTCTAGACACTGGGTCCCCCAAAACGTACATTTGCGAAGAAGTGTACGAATCTTTCAAACTACAATTTCACACACCAATTTACCAAGTATTCATAAACAACAAACGTTCTATCGCTTACTTGCCACCCATCGATTCGTACTTTACAGAAATAAACATCTTAGGAATGGAATATTTGAAAAGTTCTGGAACAATTCTCAGCATAATTTTCACCAACGATTATGATAATTTTACTTTACAATTTGATCATGAAAAAAAAGAAATCACTCAAT